TCTAGTAATTTGGAAGTTAATATATTTTATAGTTATATTTTTTATTTAATATTAAAATTTTTTATATTATCTCATATATTTAATAGTATTAAAAATCGATCAATCCGACTGAACCACACTGATCTGATTTAAGTTGGAATAGTTTGGTTATCATATAATAGTGGATTGAATTAGTTTAAAAATTTTACTAATTGATTAAATTAGATTGATTTAAAAAATATTAAAATTCAAACCAAATCACACCGCAAAAACTCCTAATTTCTATACCATTTTTGTATGCCTATTAAGCCACTGTTACTTCCTGTCAACAAAATGACATGTTTAAGACATGTAGCACTACTGATGTCATGTTTTAACTTTCAAAATTTTAAAAATGTTTGAATTAAGTCCTTAAATTAAATAGGGGAAAAACAAAATATAATAAAATAATAAATTTACCCTTATAAATAATTATTCATGTCAACAAATAACAATACATGTGGCAATGACAAAAAAATTAATTAGTTTAAAAAAAATTGTTTTGTAATTTTAGTTATATTAAATTACAAAACACTAATTATTAAATTAAAAAAAGAATCTTGATATTTGAAGAGGGCTCTTTATCTAATATTTAATATTTTATAATATAATATAGTTCAAACTATAAAATACTAAAACTTTTAGTTTCAATTTAATTCTATGCTTATATAGGATTTAATCAATAATCACTAAAAAATTGTAAAAGGATAATGAAAAGACATAAAAATAAAAATACACCGAAAAAACATTTTTACCCTCTTCTTCCATTTTCCCTTAGGTCTTACACCTTATTAATTTTCTTCTTGCTTAGTCATAATCTAACTTTTTAGATAAAAGTTTTAATTTAATTAATTACCCATAAATGATTAACTTTTAGTAATTTTTTTGATAATTTAATGCTAGTAAATTACTACCAACATAAAAGAAAATAAGATAAATAAAATACTAGTAATTAATTAATAAATAATTGCAAGGACTTCATAGAAACACTTCAAATTTTGAAAGTCAAAAAGTAATTTATCTTTATTTTTCCTGCCACACGATGCTACGTAGCGCCATCACATGGCATTACATTAACAAGAACTAGCAATGGTTAGATAGGTAGATTAAAATGATACAAAAATGATATTTTCTAGATCATTTAGGGAAAAAAATGTAGTTTCTAAATTAAAATGATATTAAATCAATAGTAATTATTAATTAGACTATTTATTAAATTTAGCCCTTTTATTTTATTTTATTTTTTCATTTTATCTCTCCATTACAATTGACAAAATAGACCACCTCCTATGAAAATCCCTATAGTTGAACTAGGTTAAAATCTAGGGAACACTATTAAAATCCTCCTTTTAGCAACTAATTGTCAGCAACATGGAATTGTTTGTTGGTGATATAGATTTTCACCAACAAGGCCCATATTGTTGTTATCCATATAGTACACATTTTCCCCAAAAAATGAGCTCTACTTTCAGCAACAAGGGTATGTTGGTAAAAGTAAATTTCAGTAACAACGACCATGTTGCTGAAATTTTTTGGTGAGCCAAAGCATTAGCAACATATACCATGTTGCTGATGTTATATATTAGCAACAAACCCATGTTGCTAATATTCATTGATCGACAGCTAAGATCCTTATATTTTTTCCACCCACCAATCAGCAACATGGGTGTAATACCCTAAATTTTTAGCACTCGTGGAATAATTAATTAATTAATTTAGGTGTGAGATGACTAATATGAAAGGGGATTTTAATGGGGGACCAAGTTGTTTATCTCTTCAATCTTGGAGGATGTTAGTAGTAACAAAAAAAAAAAAAGATGGGGAGAGTGAGGTGCGGGTATAAACTGAAGGAAGACTTAATTCCTTTTGGGTTTTCTCTCCTTTTTTAGGGTTTTTCCTCTTCTCTTCTATTCTAATACCAAATTGGGATGCTGTCAACTTCCTAAGCTCTCTCTAATCCTACTTCTTCTCATCAAGATCATTACTTTCTGTTCTTCTTTCCTTGTTCGTGATTTGAATGTTCAATGGGTACTCTTTTTGTGATTTTCTAGTAAGAAATCAGCACATGCCCATCTTTTCATCTTTGATTTGAGTTGGGTTAACTTTAATCTTTTTCTATTTTTGATTTGGGGTAGTTTCCTCTAGTTTTCCCTTCGATTTTACAAACCACATGATTAACATTGTTGATCTCCTTGTTGGAAAAATTATGTATGCGAATCATGTATTTTCTGCCCTTTTGTGTTCAAATTTCTTGACTAACATGCATCGTTAAAAGCTTAGTTTCTACCCTGCATACCACATATTTTTCCTGTTTCCCATACCAGGATTTGTGCGTTTCTATAACTGCTTTCTTCACTTTTCTACTGAATTTTTCACATTGTTTTAGCTTAATTTTGGCCCATTTTCTTCTGCTCTCCTTTGCCCAAAAAATTTTTGAGGGTTTTGCTTGCTACCCTGCCCATTAAAATCTAGTTTGTTTGGTGTAAGATTGAGAATTTGCAAGCTCATTTTGCATGTGAGTGACTCATTTTTGGCAGCCTAACCCTATGTTAGTATTCTTCCCATAACTCCTTTTGTAGATATCAGATTGAGTTCATTTTTGATTCCATAGAAAGTTAAGAGATAGCCCTACAGTTTTTCTGTTGGACATTTAACCTAGTTAAGCTATTTTCATGGTGAAAACTTTGCTGCAATTTTCATTTCCTGAAAGCAGACAAAATTGGCAGCCCAACTCTAAGTTGGTATTTTAGCCATAACTTTATTTATAAATGTCAGATTAAGGTGATTCTTAATCCTATAGAACGTTAAGACATATGGTTACTATTTATTTCTTGACCATTTAACTCAAATTGGTCAATCTCTAGGCACGAATTCTGTTGAAACTTTTGGTTCAAAATCTAACTAGAACTTTCCCAAAAATTTATTTTGTTTTCTGCTTAATTCCCGCATTAATTGTTGCCATATCACATCATAGTTTTAATAGACTTTTAGCTATTGTTTTCCTACTCTAAAACCCTTTGTTATTGCTTTGTTTTAGCTACCTTTTTGCTATTGCATTTTTGCTTGAATGCTGCCTAGTTTTGGCTTATCTTTTACATTGTTTTGTTGTTGTTTTTACCTATAAATCCCTACTATTTTTGCCCAGAAAATCCCTATTGTTTAGGGCTTTTTTCCAAGCATTTTGGGACTATTTTAAATAGTAGAAATCCCCACCTTACTGCCCAACTTTTGTGCTATTGCTTTGGGGTAGTTTTGAGCTTGGTTTCTCACATTTTTCCACTTTGTTTTGTCCAGCAAATCTGCCTAGTAAACCTGCCATATGTAGGGTCTTTTGTTGCTATTTTAGGCATGTTTTAAGTGTGTTTATGCATAGGAATATATTTCCATATATTAATAGGGGTTTCAATGGGTAGAAGTGACCAGGATGTTTAGGAAGAAATTATTTCTTGGTTAGAGACTTGATGCTGGGATTAGAAACTAATTTAGTTAAATGGAGTATATTGTCATCTTGTTTATTCATTAATGTGGTATAAATTCTAAATCACCTCAAGCACCTTAACTTCTTGAATTCCTTGCTTGTTGTATACTTACAAGACGAGGTAAGTAAAATTATGGTAAATGCCCTTGGATTTTAAGGTAAAAGTTTTAACTAGAAGAGATAGTGGCGAGACTTAACCTAATTTTCATTAGCACATGAGCATGATTGGTTTGAAATGAAGTTATTATTTTTATTGAGTTGAGCATATATGCCTACATGGAGTTTACTTGTTTGTTTTGAAAATCTGAATTTGGTTTGTAAGTTATGATTTTCCTATTGAACTCTTGTATATTTGTAAATTATGGGTTTTCTTGATAACTCTTGCATGGTTCTGTCTCCAACATGGTTATGAATTTTGTTATCCTGCCAATGGGAGTTATAAACGCTAGCACATATCAACATGTATATCTGTTGGACCAATTCATCTTACTAGTAGGAGAGTACACTAGTATTTCTGCTAACCAATGGGAGAGTACACTGGTATTTCTATTATTTAGCCAGTTGGGAGAGTACACTGGCCATGACTAATTAAGGGGACCACTAAATAAATTTCAATATGTATAAATGATTTCCAATTGAGATTTTCTTCCTGTTTGAAATTAAAATGTTTAATTGATATGCTTTAAATTTCAGTGACAGCTATTCATATTTTTACTTACTAAGTTATTTTATATAATTTTTTTTTCTCGTCCACCATTTCAAGTAGCATGACCCAAGATGTGGGAAACCAAGGGGAGTGACGAGCTAGAAGGCTAGCTATTGTATTTTGGATTTAGATTATTTTGGAGTTAGACCACTTGTCAAATTATTTTT